TGCTGATCGTATATTTCGTATGATTAAACTTGGTTTAGGTATTGATGAAGAAGATGCTATTGAAGAAAGCCATACAGCTGCTGGTGATTCAAATGAAGATATGCCACCACTTGAAACCGGTGGAGACAATTCAGCTGCTGTCTCGAGTGAAGCTTCACGAATGGAAGAAGTTGATTAAAGAACGAAATTATTTTGTTGTCTTTCTTTTTTTTTTCTTGTTATGCTGTATTGTATTAGTTCATTTTTGAGTGTTTAACATCAACGGATACGAAAGAGAATCAAAAGAATAAAAAATGTTGAAACACCAAACATTAAAAAAGAAAAAGATTTTTTTTTATTATATGCTTTATTGATACTGGAGCTCATGGTTGCCTAGTGAAGAGATAGAAGTGAATCATATAGAGTAAACTGCAAAAAGCAAAGATTGGTAACATACGTGTATAAAGTCTTTGCACAACATGTCTGATCAATTTTCGTCTAGTTATAAGTCACTGAAAAGAATTAAAGGTAATCAAGTAGAGTCAGATTTTTGTATTCGTTCTAACCGAAGCGGTAAGTGTGGCATCTGATTACTAAATTTTATTACAAGGTGCTGAGGGTACTGTGGTGCTCATACATATTTGAAATTAGACAGGAAATTAAGGTAATAAATATGAATGAGAATCATACTATTTGAATTTGATTTTTTCAATCAAGACGAGACTATTTTTTGAAAATAGTCGATTTGTTTTTTATTATAAAACTTGACTGAAGGTCTCTGAGATTGAGGAATCTGTATGTTTAATAGATTTTTCCGTTGAGGAGAAGTCTATTTCAAACAAATAGCTGAATGTTATGAAACGTGGGTAAATCGCAGAAAATATGCTTCCACTAACCGGAAAAATCGAATTTAAGAATTTCGGAAAATCGATTAGAGAGTTGGGTCACTCGACTCCAGAACCTTTCCGCCCAGTTTTATAAAAAAATCGTTATTTTCAAAAAATAGACTTTATTGAAAAAGTCAAGCTGAAATAATATGACTCTCACTCATAGTTATCATCTTAATTTCTAGTCTAATTTCAAATTTATATGAGTACCACAGCACTTTTAGTACCAAAAGGTACTGAGGATTCTACATAAAAAAATTAACAATTGTAAAAATATAGTCAAATCTCCATGTCGTGGACACTATTAGGACTTTGCAAAAGTGTTCACCATAGAACTATATGACGATATCCACTATAGAGAGGTTCAGTTTCAGCAAAAATCACTTTCCAAGATTGCCAAATGCCCACTATGGAAGATTTTACTGTACGTATATATTAAGAATTTTTCTCTAGCTGCAAATTGGTTCATTGAGAACAAATATCTGATGGCGGTCAACACCGACGTTTGTACAAAACGCTAATTTAAAAGGTATTGGTAAATGTATTTGGTCATTTTTCAGACAGGTATATCATGAAAGAAGCTCAAAATAAGTCAGTTAGGGCCAGAATATGATTGCTCTTTTTAAATGTATGCTTAGAATTTATTACTGATTTACAGTTGGTTAGCTATGAGTGAATATTTCAATAAATCAAAAATGTTGTTTGTATTAAGCAAAATAGGCTTTTTCTGTTATTTATAATTTATTTGAACGAAGTTTTAGAATAGTTTTGGTTTTTTTTAGTGTTACACATATTTTAATTTTCTACTAAATCATACATTACAGTAAGCTAGAACTCAAAAAGTATCAAATTCTATATGCACTTTTCGAATAGTTACTCTTTACGCGAGACGGCATTTTCAAAAAAAAATCATTTCTTTCGAATATCGTTATTTAGAATGTAATAGATTTTGATCATTTGTATCAATATCTAAAAAGAGAAACAAATTGAATATTTTGTAGAGCAAACTTAGCTCTACACCTTAATGTATAAAAATACTTTCTTATAGTTTGAATTGAGAGGTTTTTTTTATCAAAATTCAAAACTGAACTACATGATGAATTATGTACAGATGTTGATGTTTTGACCTCCGCCAAGGATTTGCTTTCAATGAACTAACTTTAAGGCCAGTATAAGAATTCTGAATACATATTTAGAAAGAATATGAAATTTTGATTTCAGCTGGATTACTTTCGAGTCTCTCCAGTGATTTATAAGTAGACGAAAATTGATCAGACATGTTGTGCAAAGATTTTTTACATAAAGGTTATTGGTATTAGTATTTTTCACGCTAATTATGAATTTGATATTTGTTCTTTAAAATAATTGGAAATTCAATATCGAAAATCGGGTTTTTAACTTTTCAAAAATCGAATTTTGAATTTCTTAATCAAGAAACTTATTCAAAAAATACTGAGTGACATACCATTCGATATAGAATTTAATTCTCTACAATATGACCTGTTTTTTAAAACTTTCATCGCTAAGGATAACTTGTACATTCTTGTACGGTTTTCAACTTTCTGTATAGTTAATGAGCTGTCGTTTTGATGCGGCAATTTGATTCCTGTGTAGAACGATTAAATATACAGAAAAAAACAATATTTACGAAAATCAAATATTTCTAAGCGTGTTAAGTGCATCAAAATTGGTCGACCAAAAACTGTGTGACAGCATTACATTTGTTTTTTGCATTTTTTATCTGAGCAAAAATAGTTTAGAGAAAATCTTTTTTACTGCATAAAAGTCCTTTCAATGCTCTACAAAATCGGCTCTAGAAGAGTTTGATTTGAAGAAATACTTTTGCAAGAAATTAGAGTTTTACCAGTAGTGCTGAAGAAAAAAGGGTCTTTTTATGTAACAGCTTTACACGATAATAAAATCTTTCCTGAATCCTGAAGCTTGAACCAAAAAAAAGTCATGTTTATAGCATAAATAAGGTGTGATAAGCTGCGTCGAATAGTATTCAAATGGACTTTCTAACTTTCAAATCTTCCAAGATAATTGAAAAACAGCGTGTCAAAAACATAACACAGTTACGTTTGGACAAACCGATCTCTCTCTCTCTCTTAGTGTTGCCATGCTTCGTCATGAAATGTATGCTCTCACACATCGCTTTTTGTCGACAGGCACAAAAATGGTAATGTAATGTTTACCTTTTATTTGACGAATAGAGCAACGATGCTGCTTTCATATTACAAAAGAATTGAGCACGTGGAAAGACAAGTAATTGTTTCTCTCTCATTTTTCTGTTCTTCGAGCACTAATAATAATATTTTTCACCTTCACAGTCAAAAGAGTTCGTTTCTCAGTGATTAGAATCATCGTTTATTCTATATGATGGAAGTATCTACTATTATTGAACAACAATGTGCTCTTATCAAAGATCAAGGAACATCGGTCACCAACGATCAATTGAAAACTTGTTTGGACAACATTGTTATCGAATTGAACCAAGACAAAATGAAGACTAATGTCGCAACAATACAACAGATTGTCTCATCAATTTCATTTCGACTGAAAAATGATCAAGCATTCTATGAAGCAAAACTTGTTGATCATCAACTCTTTTTGATCATTCGTGATTATTATCTTGATATTCTACGTCGATGGCGCACTGGTCAAGTACTCGATCCAATGTTAGGCCAAGTTTTCACTCAAATAGCTATTCTATTTGCGGAATTATGCTTCCATGCTACTGATGCTGATGTTGATCTATTGAAACAATTGTTAATTCATGAATCACTCATTAATGAAATTTGTGCATGTCTCAAGGACATCGCTACAAGTGGTAAACATTTGCAGGACCAACATGTCAAAGCAATTGATTATACTGTTCGAGCCATTCATTATCTTGGGAAAGGTCGAATAGATATTCAGAGTATGGCAATGTTTTGTGAGCTACACGATAGTATTGTTAATTGTGTATGTTCGAATTATTTCGCATCTATGTTTAAACAAATAGCTGAACTCGAAAAACTCAACGAAGCACAAACATTTTTACTCGATACTTGTACTGATTATATCTGCTGGCACGATGCTGGTCATTATAATGATACTTGTATAGCCATTCGAACTGCTCTATTAAATATTTTTACTTGTTGGTTTCAGGATCAGCTTTTATCTTTTCACAAATTGAGTCGAGTGGCAATTCAAGTTATTGGTCAACTTTGTATTACATTGATTGGAGGAAATGCTAGCGATGAAGAACTCTTTCCTCAACCAATTCGTGAAGATTATTGTAAAATGATCGATCAAATATCTTCCATATTGAATACAATCATGGAATCTGAAACAGTTGATGAAATAACAAAAGCTTTAATAAGAGTTCTTGCCCAAAATTTGTATTCTTTGACGATGACAAATGATTTACGAACATATATAAAAAGTAAAAATATGATTCCGTTGTTGTTAAAATTAACTAATATTGAAGATGAAACAATACAATTTCATGTTTATCGTATATTGGCTTCAATTATGACTGAAGAAGATATGAAAACATTGACCAATTCGACTAAAATTGCTAATGTCTTTCTTGGATTTCTTATTAATCTGATCGATGATTCCAGTATGATACCACGATTTCATAATTTACTTCGTAGTCTCAAGAGTAAGTTGAATTTTGATCTGTTCAACAAAAGCCAGTAGAACAAAATGAAAATTTCAAGTAGACAGATTTCAAACAAAGCCTTGTTAGTAGATTATTTGAAACTAATACAAAACTAAATCATAGTCACATGAGCTTATCACAGAGTCAAATTTTCGATACTTAGAATTCGTTCAAATACGATTAGATAAAATCGTTCGTATAAAGGTAAAGATGGTGATAAAAGAAGTAATAAATCGAAAAAAGAAAAAATAAAAGAAACTTTTCATAAATTAATGCTGACATTCGTAAATGCCGTATCATCTTCCTTTTTTATGTGACATGCTCTTCCACATATTCTTCCGATAGTGATGTTGACAGAACTCATTCCAATTGCAGAAAATTAATCGATCATCTTATTTAGTCTTGGTTCAGCACGATCAAATAAAAGAAGAATTGACAAAACAAGGGGTCTTACCTCTTCTTCTTCGTTGTGTAACTGAGTCGAAATTCGATCTTATTAAAGTTCGACTATCAGCATTAGAAATTCTTCTTGCTCTAACATTCAATGATGATGCTGCACGTCAACTCAAAAATAATTCTGAGTTCATATCAAACTTGAAAACATTGGTTACTTCATCCACTAATCGACATTTACAGAGAGTAGCGGAAAATCTTCTGTGGAAATTGGAAATAGAAGAAACAGCCATCACAAAATCACATGGAATATCAACGATATCCCATGTTGCTTCGAAGAAATATGATATTATGTTGAGCTATTCGCATAGTGACAAAGAGTTGTGTTATCGCATTCACGATTGTCTCGTCAAAGATAACTTTCGAGTGTGGATTGATCGTGATCAAATGCATGGACAAACGATGGTTGCCATGGCTACTGCTATTGAAAATTCATACTTCGTATTTTTATGTATGTCAGAAGCATATAAACAGAGTGCCTATTGTCAATCCGAAGCCCATTATGCCTTTGAACGTCAATGTTGTCTGATTCCATTAGTGATGAAGTCGGGTTATCGACCAGATGGATGGCTGGGGATTATCGCTAGTGGAAAGATCTATATCGATTTTTCTAAACTTGGATTTGATGTTGCCTATGAAAAATTAAAAAATGAGATCATTCGATATCGAACAAACCAAGTCCAATCGACTTCAACAAAGAAGTCGTTTCGACACGACTTGGATGTGAAAACAATAAACCCACCCGTCAAGTCAGATGAACAATATCCACTAATCGAGTAAGTTACCAGCAAATATTAACCGTGTGACAACTTACTGATTTGCTCAAATAAAAATATCATTCAGTAAGAATTTTGGATAAATTAGAAAATACAAGAAACTTCTAAACAAATTAATTTATTGCAGAAGTTTCAAAACTAATTTCTATTTAAACACATCAGGAAAAAATCAGCATTTTAAATAAACGTAACCTTTTTGAAATATTTAATGTTTTTCCTCATAATCATGCTGAACCAGTCTGATAATATGAATATATATCATGAGATAGAAAAAGAATTTCATTTTTAGGGACTATCCACATTGTATTAATCAATGGACAACAGATCATGTTCGATCATTTCTTATTAACGAAAAACTCGACTGTCTTCTTCCAGTACTGGGAAATATGAATGGACGTCTTCTTCATGAAACCCATAAAAGATGCAAAGCACATTGGGATCTAATGTTTCAAACTTTTAAAGCTGAAGTAACAGCTGACAATCAACAAAAACTTCTGACTATCGACACCTACATACGCTTTCTTGATGTAATCGAAAAGTATATACCAATCGTACCCAATGACAAATCCAAGCCTTCAACATCGTCATCAACATTTTGTACTCTGATTTAGACAAGTATTGATTTGCAAGAATAAATAAAGCAGATGCATCAACACAATTACTCTTAGATGTTACAAATCTATGATAAAAAAATATTTATGCATAAAATCTTGGTTTTTTGCCTTTTTATACTCCAAAATGAATCTATTGTGCTTCGAGCTGCTCTTATAATAGGAAAATCCAAATCTTATATGAGAATTTAATTTTCAGATTATGAGAAGGTATACGAAGAACTGAAGGGAAAAAAAGTCATTTTTCAGCTCCTGCTGAGATGTCAAACTTTAGAAACCTAAATATTTTTCTTCTATGTATCCCACCTCTTTATCACAAAATTTCCACAGTATGAATTTGATATTTTATTCACTGTAAAGATCAGACTGTGCTTCACGTTTTTTTTTGGTGTAAATTGACTGAGATATCAACAAGATATATCATTTATGTGTAGGAGAATGTCGGAGCTGCAAACAGAGAAGCCTGAAAAGTCTGATGAAGCTTGAGACATAAAAAATGATGATATTGTCTGTGTTGTAGTTGAAAAGGTACATATACAGAATTCAGTTAAAGTCGCTAGTAACATTAAATTGGACGATAGTCAGTTGTTCATCGTTGGTTTCTACAGTCGTCTGACACAATGAACATCTGTGTATAAGGTGACACGTGTTTGATATGCACGAGCTTCTCATTTCATCTGCGAGAAAAAGACAATCTGAGAAGTTTCTACAGGCTTCTGTCACCTCTTAACTCATACGACTCCTCTGTCCTATAGAAACAGCAGGCCATGATCTTGAAGTGTTGAGGATTGATCCGAATTTTAGGAGACTGTGTAGAATATATTCTACTGTTTCTGTCGCGAGGTGCTGTATGGCATACAGTTAGTCATCGAATAGCCTGTCAGCTGAAACAATTGTCGTTGTAGTGCCACAAGAGATTATCCTGAGTCAGTTTGAGAGATGTGAACTTACATCGCATTGTATCGAGCTATGCAAGAAGTATACAAGACTCGCAGTTTTTAGACGTGGCAAATATTGTATACAACCGAATATAACGATTTAAGATTATTTTCAAAGAATTAGTATGTACATAAAATCAATTCACTTATTCTCTATAATTTATTCTGCTTACTTTGCGTACCTTCTTATGTACGTATACATATGGTCTTGTATGAAATAGGTTTTCTCAGTTCTTTGTTTTGTTTGTCACTCCATGTCTGTTTCAATCAAATCCAGGCAATAGCAGTCATTTTGGAAATCATTGCTTCATTTAGAGAAAGTTTATTACCATTCAAATTTGTATAATCGTCACTTATAATACAGATCGTCCCATTGATACATCGTAAATGAAGTACATGCTTCAATGTGCCTAAGTCGGTCGATACAAAGCATGCACTTTTAAAAACAATATTCTCTTTCTGTGTCAGCAAACTATCCGTTTCAAGCTTCATTTCCCTTTTTTTTTCATTATCAAAACAGAATTGAGAAATACTAACATTCAAAAGTTCGTATGTTTTCTATTCATATCCTTCTTGCCGAAATGATTATTCAATCGAATTTCGACTCTCAGTTATTAAAAAGATCTGATTATTGATTTCAATATTTTTTTGATCATTGAAATTTTTTCTATTGTTTGAACGAGAATACTAAGAAGTTTTGATATGGCATCATTATAAGAAAAAGCGTTTGAGAAAGGAATGATTTTATTTCATTGTACCAGAGAATAAAGATTGTCCCTATGGATTAATTCCAATAAAACCATTGTCAATTGAAATAGAGCTTCTAAGTCTAGTCGAATTTTAAGAACATCTTTAAAAGATCTTATCTTACGAAGTTTTCATATCTGCTATAGCTTTTTATCCGAGCTGCTTACGCACGACAAATTTTTCAATGAGAATTTTTTCATAAAATGATTGCAATTCACCATCTCCTTCGACTGTCTTTTTTTTCCATACGATTTTAATTGAAGCCAATGTGAAAAAGATACAACTTGATGGCGACTAGTTCACAATTTCATTTGTCAGTTTTGATAATTTCCAATGACAACTTACGAGTTTTCAGTTCTGTGAGTAGTTTAGGATAGGAAAAATATTTTTTCAGAGGATATTCAACTCTTTTGAAGAGTAGTCTGAAACAAAAGATTAATGACTCATGAAATTTCTCATAGAGTCAACGTGAATTCGTTTCCTACATCGATCAGGAACATTCGATTACTGTAGTGAAATCCTTTTCGACTTCTTCACAACTTTCACATAGTTCCAACATTCACAAGTCATATCCTTGATATTCTTATCTGGCGACGGCCACTAAAAATATCAACAAGCTTCTGTCTTCATTCGAACCATCTCTACATGGATTGAGTGAAGATGATTAAGAAGACGATTCTTAAAACAGAGAGAAATTATTCTATGAAAACCTTTAAGAATACATCTATGCGACATGGAAAGCTGATCATGAAATCTGAAATATAATTGAAAATTATGTCAACATATTCTTTTTCCTATATGTTAGAAGACAATGTAAATGAGCATGAAAAGTTTATATCGAGGTAGAGCTGTTTCTAAAGAATCAGCATATGTTCAGGGATGTGATGAGTCTGAATTTCTCGCTATATGCTTCTAACATTCATTAACAGTCGTGTCACCCAAAGTAAAAATGCCAAAGAAGTTAATTCGAAGTCTTTTCGCTTCGTATTAAATACAGCAAAAAGAATGTACTATCGATTAATTATGTATTTGAGTTCATTAGAATTTCAAGTACGTTCTTCAAAGTAAAGACATTATCGCATTCAAAACTACCCTTCATTGAATGAAGATAGTTGGAAGACTTGTGGATCTTTAGAGGTTTTGGTTGAAAGTCTTATTTCAGAAACATTTGGTTCGACTAATAAAGCCTTTCGACGCATTAGTTTCGATATAATATCTTTTATAAGAAACCTTTTTGTCCATGCGAATAATAATAATGATAGAATGGTAATGACTGCATATGTAACAAATAATCCACTCATTGCTTCAATGCCCATAGAATCAGTAGCCAATGCACCAGATGAATCAGGACAATTATTTGTTTGAAACCATTTCAATGTTAACTCATCAAGTTTACCTGATTCTCTTAATTCTAATATATTTACATCTAAATCTTGCTCATATAACCAATTTTTAGGAATAACAATACCAAATGCACTCTTATCAAAATCTGCTCCAACTAAAGTTAAATTACAATATACATTATTAGTTATATATTCTGCAACACCGATATCCATAAAAGATGTATCGATGACATCATTGAGTAGATCGTTGTATAGGTCTTGTTGAGATTTTAATTCATGAAAATCTCGACTGCCTTTAGAGATTACTTGTAAATAATAATCTTCACTAGCTGTACCTAAACTAATACCTATACGACTAGGTGATATCATGCCATTTTTAATATCATCAATTCCAGAAATTATATTCTTGGATTTAGTTAATGTTAGATTAGATGCTAAGTTCGCAGTATATGTTGCTGCTAATACTAAACTTAAAACATACAAACCAACAGTTAATAAGCGTCCAGCCGCTGTTGAAGGTTGCATATCACCACCATATCCCATCAGATTCCCAATCGAATACCATAAACTCATTGCAAATGATGAAATTATTGATCTATCTTGTAAGGATTTATTATCTTGTCGTTCTATTAGATATATTAAGAAAGCAGCATAGATAAGAGAAACCAAGATTAGCATCCAGAGTTTCAATGAGAATGGCTTCAAATAAGATACAAGATCTACTCTAACAGGGCGTTGTTTTCGAAGAATAAGACGTAAAGAATTATCAAATATTGAACTCGAAAAAGCAACAAATTCTCTTCGTCTAGCAGTAATTGTGACATCACCTACCACCATGTCGTAAACGCCTCTTGCCACTGCTTGGATTATTTGATCATAGGTTTGATTTGAAGGTGTTAGTATAAGATTAGGAATAAATCCCATCTTCTCCTGTAAAAGATCAATAAGATCAGGTATATAACCAACATACTTTGTTGTGATTTGTCCATTTTCATCTTCTATAGAATCGATCGTTGTGAATGGAGCTAATTCAATAATACCGATTCGTAAGCTAATACTTGAAAGTAGTGCATGACCGCTAGGTGATATCAATAAATTACCAGGCCATACAATTAGATTTGTTAATGCATATTCTGTCCAATTGCTAGAATCAGACCATTTCAATACTGGCACATATGCTACACCATTGGAAGAAGGTTGAACATTTTGTAGCAAATAATAACTACCATTTATTCGATCTGTTACATTGATACTAAATTGTATTGGACCAGATACACCAAGAAATTCAGTATTAATAATTGTATCAAAAAAAGAGTTGGCATTAAGAACACGATAATCAAAACAGAATGAAGAGTTGAGAATTGATATACATGATGAAGAACTATTTGTAGTTATTGAACAAAGTTGTTGTAATGATTGAATTAATGACCAAGTTGCATCAAATGCAAATAGTGCATAATAATTCACTTCTGTTGCTCCAGGAAATGATTCAGGTTCATATTGTTGCCAAATATTATATGCTGCATTTAATAATGTTGTATTTATTGATGCACTGACAATAGCTCCTACTGTAGGTTCTATAGTAAGTATTCCAATTAAGTTTTGATAGAATGATTGATTAAAAGAATTCAATGGAGCATTTGAGCTTAATATCCATATGAACTTTGGGCCAAGTACATTGTAATCAAGAGCATATTGTAAAATTAAAGATGTATAAATTGAATCAGCCCATAATATTACAATTCGGGTTGGACTATTGATTAAAGAGATATTCAAGGTGACTTTAAAACTAAGTGTCGTAATATCAAAGTCTATCATTCGTGCAACTGTCACACTATTCTTACTAAATATCTTACTTAGTGCTTTTGTACCACCAATACCATAGCCATCATTTTGATAAACAATTATACATGATGTCCAATTAAATCGTGTGAATAGTTGTGCAATTGCTACTGCAGCTACATTATCCGAAGGAACTGTGCGATAAAATACACGATATGTATTTCGATCAGATAAATCAGGATTAGTTGCAGCATAGGATATTACAGGAATACTAACTGTTTCTGCAAAATCAGCAATAAAGTTCGCTTCTCTCGATGATACAGGACCCACAATGCCTACGATATTCGAAGAAGATATTGCCAAACATGTACTGCGAAGAGCACTGATTGCATTGGCATCAGTTTGTACGGTTTGCCATCCAATAAATTGTTCTCCGATTGTTATGTTATATGTCTGAGAAAGTATGATTGCTGCTTTAAACATAGCACGAGAATGAATAGACAACATATTAGATTTAGATGTGTTTGATGTGTCTTGAAAAAGACCTAATAGTTGTATACTTGAGATGTTTGACGATGGCCAAGTTGCTTTTATATACTGTATACTAAATTGCTCGAATATTAGAAGTACCAACAACCATCGAAAGCTCCACAAATGCCACATCATTATTCGATTTCAGTACAGATTTGCTGATTAATCTAGAAGTAAAAAAGGAAAGAAAGTAGGAGAATACTTTGAGAAATGTGCTACAATTACATCGAATTCATTCGAACCATTTCAACTTTTGGAAGTAACAGAATTTGATGGTTCGGACCCGAAAATAGCCTTAGAAAGCTCGATAAAACTCGGATCTGTCAGAGACCTTTTTTTACGCTAATAAAATGTCAAACCCAAGCAGTTCAGGGGATGCTTCTTTGTCACTAAAAATATCTTTAATGTCACAACGTTTAAATTTTAATATACTGATCAGAATACCTGTTTTTCAGAATAAACGATTTCGGCTATAAAATATAAGAAACCCATTCGTGTTGTTTAAACGCTAGACTCTAAATGTGTTAAGTAATAATTCATTAAAGTTTAAACGAATTCATGATTTTCTATTAAAGGGAAATTTCCTTCACGCAATCGTGTCGTCTCATTTGTCTGAGACAAATGAATTTCTCAGATAAAACGTCACCGTTTTACATATAACTTGTCTGTGCGCTAAATTTCCTTGATCTGATGATGAACAATAGATATTCATTTTTCATTGATATTTCATCCAATTCCAACGAATAGGTCTCATCGCTTTTTCAAAAACCGGCACGTTTAATTTCTAACGAGCCGCAATATTAATGTAAACAACTGAAGCTACATTCATCTCTAAAATATAACATGTAATTAGAATTAGCTTGCAGAATGTCCAAACTTTTCATTTTTCTAAATTTTTGGTTCACATAAGTGTCAATTTTAGAGAAATATGAACTCCGTCAGGAAACATAACTACCTGATGATTGTATTCACTACATCTCATTATGTTACTTGCGTGCAGTTACGTCGAACTATGGATTAGAGCTTTTTTCATTTTGAATTACTAGGAAATTGATACTTCAATGGTTAGAATATCTTATTGGTAGTAATTAGCAAAAGAGTCTTTACATAGTTTTGTAGGTCTTCATTTGATAGTTCTAACACACTCCTGAAAATCAATAAATGAATATCCCAACCATGAGAGTCGCACTGTTTTTCTAAAAGCTTTATGTTAAATTCTTAGAAAAGTAATCAGAAAAATCTTTTCATCTTTGGTTCGACGCGTCTTCGTCTTCTCTTTCCAAGGGTGAAAACCGCAACTCTCTAGATCAATCCATTCAAAAGCTATTCAAAAACTACCCACTCGCCTTCTTTTTTGAAATGGGCATTAGTTCCAAAAGATAAAACGATTCGGATGAAATCCATGAAAATTCTAGTACTTTCTCGAAACAATTACTTACTACACAAAACTTTAAATACTATATCAAGTTAATAAATTGGCTTTTTAAACGAAATAAACAATCTTCGCAACTTCAATGACAATTAAAACTGACAGTAAAAATCCAATGAAAACGACATAGAAGTAAAATACATATTTCGATCAAAACTCTCCTTTGGGTACATAATCAAAGAAAGAATATATGATGATAACAAAGAAATTTATAGAAATACAGAACATGTTTTGATGTGGCAATAAATGAAAATTTAGAGCAGTTTTATTGTTCTATAGTTCTAAAAGTATTTGGAGATGTTCAGTAGGACTACACTTCCATTGCAAGATGAGAATGCATACTTAATACATAAAATTCAAAAATGAAAATATCAGATAGAGAAAAATGTATTTCTTGGGAAGTCTATTTCAACCATTCGAAACATCTGAGAAGAGACTGATCGATAGACATCAAAAACTGAGATTGACTCTTCTGAATGATATTTTTCAATGAATCTAAGATTTGATTATGAACTATTTCGTTTTCCATTGGTATAGATCCGCCGAAGACAACTTTGTACATTTGATGTTATGCAAATTGTCTATCTTCTCAAATATCTCGACTCGATCATCATTTGATCAAGAAGAGGTTTTCAGCACCTGCTTTTTAGTATACTGTTATCCATGAAATGTCGCTGGACACAAATTTTGAAGATGTGAAAGTGAAAGTGGAGCAAATACTCAAATCTGATTGTATACAGAAGGTCGCTTGAATGTTACATCGATCGATTTCGGTTCTCAGACATTGTCAATTTTCTCATTCATACTAGCTTTATAAGTATACTCTTTGACCGTTGTCACATCAAAAACATACTATCGATCACTGTAAATTTCCAGCTTTTCCAAACGTCATTATCTTAATCATACAGTTAGAAAGTGTCGGAAGAGAATGGTTTTGCTCAGGGTGATTACGAATAGGAAGAAGTAATATAAAGCTGAAAAATTGATCGGATGAGGTGTGAGAAACAGAAAACATGTTCCCGACTAGTCTATTCATCTGGAATTGCAGAAGATTCAATAGCTAATTGATGGAAAGAATTGATTAACAGCATCAAAGAATGGATGAGATAGTTATAATAAACATGTAAAGCTATTCAAAAGAAAAGAAAGTTGAGGAGTTACTTCACAACAATCCTTCCTTGCTTATTCTCAGTTGATTTATGGACAAAAGAATTCGATAACTTATATCATTATTCTCACATATGCTTCTATCATTCATTGAATTCTTTCTAAATTTATCTACTCCTTTTAGTAACTGTCATTTTTTAGTATTTTTTAATTCTCTTTCTATATAACTTTCTCTGCTCTTATTGTGTTTTCCAGCTTCTAACTTTTCTTTTCTTTTTTTTCATTTCTAATTCTAATTACTTCACACTATGACTATAAAGACAACAAAGAAAGTGTTTTTACCACTTATAGACTTGTAAGTAGTTCGTATCGATTGCCAACACTTCTGTTCGTTATTCGAGCACTAATCACAACTATATATCTTCACTGTAATGTAACTTGTTTTCTTCTTGCATCAATGAATATGTAATTATCTATGCACATTTGTTTTTCATTATCAGATGATTACTCTTACTAATTAAATGTATGTGCAATGATGCATGAAGCCTCTTCATAAAAACAATTAATATTGAAATTTCATACATGTCAATTTGCTTCTATTTGTGAAGCGCAAATATGAAATATGTATAAGTGTCCCATTAGAGCTACGGATGAGATGTGAATCAGAGTGTGTGAATGTATGTATGTAAATCAATCGAAAACAGATCGATGTATATGTCTCTGATATATATCAATCTGCTTCTCTCGACTCTTTCTTTTCAGAAATCGATTACTTGTTGCCGTACTTTGTAATCAAAGTGAAAGTGCTTAGTAAAAGACTAATAAAGAGATACAAAATTAATTTTGACGAAGTGTTTCGTGTTATTGATTAAAATATAAGCATTCATGAGAGCTTTGTATTACAATTGAAAGCACAAAATACAACAAATATAATAATAGATTGAAGCAAATTGTTAAAAAAAGAGGAATTTTATAATAATAACAGTGGCAGAAACAAAAAACGGGAACAAAATTGATTTTCAAATGAAAAAAGGGAATCAAACTTCGGAATTTAAATAAAATCATTCTTAGTTAAAAAAAAAGAATTATGTGTGTTATTAGTTGGTCGACAGCAGATGTTATCACAAATTTAAATTGTGTTGAGATATCATTAACCCTTCGTGAATATCGTATGTGGAAGAATATAACCAGTATATTGATGGATTTTAAACTAGACATGCTGTGTACGATAATTTCTGATATATATGTATTAACCGATCGTTCGGATACGTGAAAAATTATATTATACATTTAAAATTAATGGTGCTTGTATATAAATTGAATCAATACATTGAGGGTCAATATATAGATTGATCTCGAAAATTAATGTACTGTTAAACATATCGTACATGAATGATTCTAACGTTTAACATATCAGTCGAATTGAGTAACAATTAATAGTCAACTATATACACTACTGGCTAGAAGTCCCGGAAAGTAAGAAATTTCGAGTGAAGATCAATCGTTTTCCATGATATTTTTACTAGCGACGCAGCTTGAAAAACTGTGATCGTCAGTGCCATTCCGAGCTCGAATAGACTGAGTAAAAATGGAGTTAGAGATCAAATACTGCTTTCAGTTCGGTAAACACAATCTCGATGTTTAAAGAAATTTTCAATCTAGCTCGCTCTTACTTATGAAGTCTGCTGCTTGTTACATCTTTGATATAAGTTTTCAGAAGAAATTGGTGATATTTGGAAACATAGCAAGCAGAGTATTCAAAATAATAGATGAGCCAGGTTGAGAAATCTTTTAAATATCGAAATTGTGTTTACCGGACTGGCAGCAGTATTTGATCTCTAACTTCATTTTTACTCAGCGTATTCAAGCTCGGATTGGTACTGACGATCACAGTTTTTCAAGCTGCATCTCTGATGAAAATATCATGGAAAATGATTGATCGTCACTCAAAGTTTCTTACGTCTCGGGACTTCTGACCAGTAGTATATATATATATATATATATATATATATATTGGTTAAATGTCTTATCATCGAGTAATATATAGTGACCGCAAATAAATAAAACAATAAAACAATATCAAAAGACGAAAATCACCAGATGCACATATACCTGTACATAATATTTCATTTCAACCTTCACTGAATAAAATAAATATGATAATAAATAAAAATAATAGTACAAGTAAAGATGTAATAGATTTTATTGAATTAAGTAATGATGAACTTAAATTTCTGAATGCTCTCCAATAACGTGTTATTTGAAATATTTGTAATAGACATACACAACAAAGCACTAACATACCTAATGATGGTGTTAAATCTCGATACATAATAATAAATTCGATAATGATTTGATAATAGATTATATCAAGTGAATATTTTTTATGAAGCGTCCGTACATAATATTTACTTTGCTAGTACAGTTGTATCCATTAACATAAGAACAGTACCAATCCAATAAAATGTTTGGATTAAACCATTTTATGAATATGATGTCAAATATATGCTACGCTTGCAGATAAATATACTTTTAAATACAGGTAATCTTATTGTATCTTGTAGAACTGAAAACATGAACCATATTGAAACTGACAAGTCATATTGAAATGGACATAAACATTAGATATTAACCAATTGCAATTTCAAAATAATCGGATAATAATCATTAAATTGGCATATTGTACATATATAAAATACTTTAAATACAACAGTTTTTAGATAGATTGGTTATAGATTCTTTTATCTATTACGTATTAATCATCTTTGGAAATTATTGGCATTACGTGCATCAAGAGCTGACATGATTTCATTAATTAGAAATTCGTCGAAATATCTATTCTCGAGAGCATGAAATTTTACTAAGAATGCTTTCATGCTTGAACAGTATGTGAAATGAACAAACATTGTTTTCCCATAATCTATTGGCATTTTTTCTTTTGTAAGAGTATTAGTAACTTTTTGGTGAATTTTATTAGAATTATTAATAGCTAAGGGTTGATCAATATTGAACTTTAACAGAAAATTATTAAATTGTTGATGTGTAAGACTGTTCAGATATTTATTTAATAATAACGCCATTCATATTTTTTCACATTCATCTTAAGTATACTTTGTATTTAGAACAATGTCTAATAGCACGAAGTAACATCATAAAAAGAATATTCCCCTTCATATGCATAGGATGGGCGATATTGAATGGGAAATAATATGGTTCAAAAAATGACTTGTGATAAACTAGAAAAAAGTTGACCATCTTAATTTTCCATATGTAACTCGAGAAAATCAGCAGTTGAACTCATATTAACTGACAATTGTACATGTGGATCAAATTTATTTCATCTGTCCATTTTTTTAAGTAGATGTCGAGCAGGCTAGTTAATTGCAAGGAATATATCATCAATATATCGAAGATATAATCTTCCGCTATTATTAATTTATTTTACAGTATCTCTTTTGCATGAGAATATATAGCAATTAGCAATGATTGACGTAAGAGAGCAACTGATAGTTCTGTCACGAATTTAATGATAATATTGGCCATCATAAGAAAAATAATTATTCTGCATAATAAATCGACTTTACCAAATTATTGTTTTTACTTTTAACCCTTCGTTCTTGTTGTTGGGATCCAAGTGGACCCACTTCACACTTTTTCATGTATTACTACATTAAGATTTTCTGTTTCGGACTAGTCCTCGCATCTAATCTCTAGTCTTATGTTGGTGAATAATATGCTCATGAGAAATTACGGCTAAGTTCAAAAGGAGAAAATGGTGCTAGTCCTATGAGTCCGCATGGATCCCACAACAACTACAGTATTATGACCATCCTTTCTTGTTTGCTTTCTATTGGCCTTTCTCATTCAAATAGCATCAAAAAGATAACTTGTCAGATATTTAATAAAAATTAAACAATACTTTATATTCGATAAAGTAATCCAAATATGAATAACGTTATCATTGTCATAAAAAAACCCAAGTTTTTACTGTTTTGTGATCATGAAAAGAAACAGATATAAATAAAGATAGTTGAAAGAAAAAATGTCTCCCCTTTTTATCTATAGACAATTCGATATATCAACATATGCACATATACGTATCAGTCTAGGCTAAAATGATTGAATCTAAGATTTTTTTAGTTGTCTTCCATCCTAACGGGTGGTGCAAAAGTTCTCGGAAAAATATCGCTTCATTTTTCGTCCACTAAAATATGTTTTATAAAAATAAAAAATATATATTCGGAATCTACGTTGAAAGCGCTTTCCAACTGTATACTCAAAAAATTTCTATTATGTCTTGCCTTTGAGTAACGACCACGTCCTTAAATGACACTAAAATATACTCTGTAAAAAGCAACCCACAATAATTGTGGCAGAAGGAACCGATATTTCAGTATTTTTCGAATATCTCCTATGCGTTCCGTCATATATTGTGGCTCTTTTCCCCATTATATTCGTCGTTTAATTCTCTACGAATTCGTCAGAAAATACTGTGGCATTGCTTAAACATCGGCTCCTTCTACCATAGTCATTGTAGGTTGTTTTTTTACAGGTGTGGTACATTGTAGTGTCATCTAAGGACGTGACCGTTACTCAAAGGCAAGACATTCTAGAAATTTTTTGAACATACAGTTAGATAGCGCTTTCAACGTAGATCCTGAATAGATATTTTTTATTTTGTTAAAACGTGTTATGGTGTGGTCGATGAGATATGAAGCAATATTTTCCGGGAACTTTTGCAACACCCGTTATTATAAAAGAAATTCCAGACAATCTTTATTTTTCGATATTTTCTATTGTTATATTGTCACCAATAGAGCTGACATGTCAGCATTTATAAAACAGAGTATCTAGACCTTTATATGACACAAATAGAAGTTTGAATAAAGCAAAAATATCCTTTTTACTTATTTCTATGGATGAATCCGAGTGGACCTCACGGCAACAACGATGAACAAGAGTAAGGACAAAAATAAAGGGTTAAATCACCAATTTGTTTTGGTTTCAAAAAATCTATCATGTTCTTTAGTGATAATACTCCTTCAGTTTGTGGTACCATTGTA